AGATATGGCCATTTCGAAACATGATTTTATTACATGATAATTCACATCAAATCATCTTTCTGCTGTTCAGATATTTTCAATTATAGTTGAATACAATAATTTCCATGTACACAGGTTTTAAAGTACGACGTCATTTTAAGCAAGTGGGCATAGCAACCTGCAGATCTTGAAAGGAGCGCCTTGCTAGGAGGAAAGCGTAAGCGAAAAAGGACGTAGCAATTCAGAGGAAGAAGGGAAGGAGTCAAAAAGTTTCAGTTCTGGGTTAAAATGTTTTGGTTTAGAATTATTTGATTGGGCAAGAGGTATCTGCATTAAGCTTTACGTAGGATCGCATGATTAATTTGAATGACGCTAGCGCTAACTGCGCTAAAAATATAACTCTTATAGCGCTATTTTTAAGCTAGAGAGATGATGTCCCCAAATTAAATAAAAAATAAAAGAGGTTATAGCCAATTAAAATTAGAAGTTTGCTTTCATATTTTTATCTGACGAAAAGAGCTCATTAATTTATTCGTGAATATTCTTGCGATCCACGTCATTCCTTGGGCACGTGACGCACCCCACAAATTTTGCAAACAGAAATTTACATCTTAACACTGAACAAAGCGGAGCGGCCCGAAGTGCGTTTGGTAGCAATAAGCAATGCTGGGAAAAAAATGTGCAGTTAGTGTCAGTGGTATTTATAATAAAAATGTGTTTAATCTGATTGGCTGAGATTTCATCGCATTGCAGGCATGATTACATAAACGTATTAATTTTCAGTTGGACCATTTTATTCTTATACAAGAAGTGGACGTAAACGAATTACAAGGACTATTGCTAAAGTTCGTAATTTTTGTTGGTAATTTTCTTTCATGTTTTGTATCTTACACACACACACACACACATATATATATATATGTATGGTAATAGATTTAGGTAGTACTGAGTTAGATTTAAGTACTTTAATAAGTACCTTAATAATATAATGTTCCCTCTTCTCACACCTGCCTTTGGCCTGCTAACGTAACATCCGCTGTCTCTCTTTTCCTTCAACTGTATTCCTGTGAAAATGTAAAAATGTAAAAATTATGTTTACAGATATTGAATAATTGTCGTGCCTCCTTCGCCAGTTTTGCTATGTGTAGTAATTAAGTAATTCTATCAGCTGGCCATGAATGCATTTCCATTTTCATGCATCAGTTTCAATATCATCATTTCCTACAACACGTCCTAAAAGGCTCACGATACACAACTGTGTTGATTATGTAAGATATATCCATTTCCTTGTCTGAATCATTATAACTTCGATTTAAATGCGTTCCCGCGAACGTGCTTTACCGTACTAAGGAACCTAATAACATAAGAAATGCAATAATGATATATTTTTTACCAAATTCGTTTTCCACTGCAATTTTCTGTAAGCATTTTTAAATTAAAAGTTCCGCAAACACTGCACTTTAAAAAAAATTATGCAGATATGACACTTAGCGAGTTGATGAACGAAGAACAAAGGAAAGGTAACATATAAACATATCAATCGTCTATAGGCAAGATGACCTTGCTGATGAGAATTTCCTTTATAGGTTCGTATTTCTTCAGTTGGAAAGGCGTGATAGGGAAACACACGATGATTATTCGGGATTGTCATTGTCCAATCTTTAGGAAAATTAATTTTATTTCACCATTTCCTTGAAGTAAAAGACAGAGATATCAAAAATATGCCGAGAACCATATATGTCTGCTGGTTTTCGCTTACAAAAATAAAATTAATAATTTAGAAACGGGATAAAATCCTACTGACATTGTCTAACTCAGGTGTCTTCTGATTTCTAGGATAAGAACATGAAACAAAAACAAGTTTGGGGAAAAGCGTTGTTTTATTTAAGTCTAAGCTATTTAACTGTAATTAAAATTACTTTGCATTACCAAAAATATTAAACTATTCAGAATTTGCAATTACACATAATAGGGAATTTGAATGTCATTTTTACCCGAACTGCATTGTGACTAAATTGTTGCCACCCATTAAGCCATATGATATAAATGTGAAAGATAATGGTTCATACTACATATTATATAGCAAAAATATTAATATAACTGTAACATTTAACTGCAGTTGCTATATGGGAAGTTATACTGCAAGACGCAAATTATTCCAAATGTCCCAAATTGCAGTGCTCCGTGGTGACTCTACTAATTTTTAAATAGCACGAATAATTCATTAGTGAAGTGCTACTGCCAATTATTTGAAAGCTAGCTCGATAATTAAATAAAGCAAAGAACTGAAGACAATCTGTACAAAGCAACTGGTCATTTTGTGGAAACACTTTTTAGAGAAATTGACGTTACGTTACAAGGCGAAAAAGGGGACTTGGTTTACCGCCGCATCGGAAAATTTCCCGAATTCTCAATGGCTCCATCTGCCCCTGTTAGGCCTACCAGCGGTAAAGTCGCTGAACTCTGGTAGTTCGGTCCGAGGTTCGAATCCCGCGAACGGGCTGGCTGCGTGAACGTTTTCGTGGTTTTCCCCATGTGTAAAGTGTATAAGAGCCAGTTTCCCTCAGAAAGTCCTCCACGAAGGCATCCCTTCCCTTAGGCAGATAGCCCTAGTGTGCTTTACCATAGTTAAATAAACGAAACGAAACAAAACCATCTGCCCCTGCACTGTCTCGCATGCCATTTCTAGCCTTTATGTCCTATTAGTGACAAACTTCCGCTCAACACTGGCATGATAGACCAGGTGTTAATTCTTAAAAGCAAGGTCAGGTGGTCTACAGCAGCAACTTCACATAATGAGCATAATTTAGAGGGTGCTGGTTATAAAAGGCTTTCTGTTCTGATGAAAGAGTTTCCTAGTTTCTTCCATATTACTGCACGAGCAAATGCTACTACAGAGCGTAGTATAGCCAAAATATATTACTGAGCTCAGGCAATAGGAGAGTGTTTCTTTTTACAATTCGATCACACTTTTCGCGCTCTACCAAATTACTATGCATGTATAGATGTTAATTAAGTGCACAAAATATACAGGACTCTATAACGCACACAGAGTACAATGCAGAAAAATACGTATATCACTCAGAATACCCCATACAAGAAACTGTGTATCAGTTTTCTGTTTGTTGCAGCGAATGATAGTGCAGTTGCTCTCATGAGGCATTATAATATCTAATATTAGTTCTATATAAGACACATATTTAGTTTAGAACACAGTGTTAACCTATATACGAAGCAGAATGATGACTTAAATTTTATCCAACTTCCGCCTACCTTCAGTATTGAAGTTTGTGAGAAATAATACATATATTTACATGTTAGATGGAATTATCACACTTCAACAAGTATTGTTGTGGTGTAAATGGTCACGTAATTGGAATATACATGGTTTCAAATTCCAGAGCACAGCTGATTTTCCTCATTGCGTGCTTCGAAAAACCGAATGATCTGACTATTGTCCTCAGACTAAAATGTCGCAGACGATAACTCGTCAAGACTTGGATTCCATTAAGTTGGTCTCGTACATTTCCATAGTCATCCTTTAAATGTGTGGAAGAGAGAAACTATAAGGGATTATCTATTAGCTAATTAGCTATTAACTATTAGCTGATCCCCATTCATATTCACGTGGTGTCACGTCAATAATCGGAAAAATCCGTGGTTCGAATTCCGGTAAGAATATAGGTGATTTTTCCCATTGAAACCCGAAGAGAGCTATACTGGCACCGATTGAAATGTAGTGGGAGATTATTTAACGCGTTCTGGGTTTTGCCAACTTGGTCTCATTCCTCTCTTCTCTGTTGCCGTGCTTCCTGTCATGGTTAAAATGCAAGCAGATTTATATTACGTAAATGGAATTATGTAATGTAAAGTGTATGCAGTGTAGGTTAAGATCCTACTTCGTCTGATAACCGAACTCAGAAATCTTTGGTCACAGATGTGTCTGAGAGATTACTCCATCTCAATGGCTTTTCCCCTGTGGAGGCAGAGAAAGGATTGGACTTCTAGTTTCAAACTGGTTAATTCCCTCAGTTCCCAATCAAAAGTCGTTTCAAGTTGAAAAATCTTGGCATATATCACATTTCTTCATAAATCTGATTGTATTATCAAACAGTATAAACAAAAGCCTGAAATGTAATATTTTCCAGATTGTTTTTAATGTAAAAAATTTGAATCGTCAGATTATCAACTCATAAAAATAAATGTGATGGAAATTATATATTGTATTAATACTTAAAAGCGAGACACTAATTTTCAGAACTGTTGTGCACTATACTTCATTAGTTAATAACTACTAACAAAAGCTTTTCGTGTATATAAGTTTCTAATAGTTAGCTCTCGTGGCTTTGCTTAAATTAAGTAATCACAGAATCTATGAAAAGATCAAGCTAAAAAAATGCTAACTATCAAGACCAAAGCTATCTAAGCAAATCTGTAAAACTTTTCATTCTCCCTGCTGCATATCTTCGTGGTGGAAATCACATCCGACTAGGTAAGGAGTTCGAGTCCCGAAGAAAGTATTTCAATCCTCCAATACATAGACCACCAGTGGCCGAGCGGTAAAATCGCTGAACACTGGTAATTCGGTCCGAGGCTCGAATCCCGCGAATGGCTGGCTGTATGGGGGTTTTCGTGGTTTTCGCCGTGTGTAATATGTATACAAGACAGCTTCCCTTAGAAAGTCCTTCCTCCCCTTAAGCAGATAGCCCTCAAGGCTTTGCCGTAATCACATAAACGAAACCAAACCTCCAAAACAGAATGCCTAATGGTCTCTAGAGATCGATACTACAAAATTAAGTGCTATGAGTCACATTTTGCGAATAACTTCGGCTATCTCTGTAATATCAAAGTCAATTCAATAAGACTGATTAAAAATTGTAATGTAGTACAAAATATCAGTATTGAAATGTAAGTATAATAAACTGAGCATTAAACGTTTCACAGAAGAAATTTTTTCCCAGGTGTGTAATGAAAGTATCAAGTTCATTTGAAATTTATGTAACAAAAAGCATTTTTTCCAGATGCACTTCTGAAGATGACGAAGGTGACGGAATGGAGTTTGAACCAAGGCGGTTACCTTGCTATAGCTTTCGGTGGCTTTATGCTCCTTGGTTGCATCACAGCTTACGTGGTAGCTGTTGCAAGGGGAAATGTCGATCCCTTCTTACCTCTTATAAGGTATGTGAAACAACTTTTAAGTTAAGTAGCAAGTATAAATTGTTCGAACATAAATTCTTTGATACTCACCCTCATCATTTTACGAAAACTTGCTAAATATTTAAAAGTAATTGACGTTTATTTTTTTATGCTGATTCCAAAAATGATATTTAAAACTAACCAAAATATTTTCGCGAATTGTGAAATTTTTATGATAAGTAATGTGTTATGCTATATTGATAAGTAAAAATAGTAATGCTATAGAGCAGAGGTCGGCAAACAATGACCCGTGGGTCACCGAGTGACCCATTTGGTAATTTCAAGTGACCCACTTTAGTTCCGAAAATAAAGTATAAGATATACAAACATTTTTTTCTTTTTCCCAAAAAATTTTTGTCGCAAAGTTATGAACCAGTATAACATAAAAATATCAGTTAAAGCCCCACCCCCCCCCTGACTGGATATGGAATCGGCCGATAGTATGCGGAATGTAGCGACATTGTCTGAACAAATTGTACCATTCCTGGACGCGCGCGTCGTTATCTCACTTGTATGTCACAGTTATAGGACGTGTAGTACAGTAGCACAATAATATTGATCTAGTGACCTAGTGAAATAAATATTATTATTTAAAAAAATTACCATGAACAAACAAAAAGCAAAAAAGAGATTATTTCAAGGTGTGTGGACAGAAAAGTATGGGTGTACAGAAAATGGTGACAAATTGATATGTACTTTATGTACAGATATAATTACCGCCAGGACTTATAATATTGAGCGACACTTTCCTTCAAAACATAAAGATGTGAGTGAAATGGCAAATGAAGATAAATCTGAATACATTGCTAAACGTGTATTAAATTTTGGAAAATAAAATAAATTATTAAAGAGTTTTGTTACCAGCAACAATCACGCTACGTCTTCCAGCTTTGTTGCAGCTCTTAGAATTGGTACCAACGGAAAACCATTTACAGTTTACAGTTTTGAAAGCGAGAGACAGCGAGTTTTTGAAAAAACGCATTCATAAATTGTTCCGAACACTTATTTAATGACTATAAAAAAACAAATAATTGAGAGAAACAAAGAAATGCCATTGCCAACTAGAACATTCCAGCGTCACGTTGAAGATATGGCCAAGAATATTGATGAACAGTCAAAAATGATTTGTTATCTGTGACATAATTAGCATTGCAGTTGACGAAAGTACCGACATAAATATATTGGTAGGCTTGCAATAATTATTAGATTTGCATCAATAAATAGCTCGAATGTCAAAGAAGAATTATGCGTTCTTGCTTCATGAATGACACCACCAAAGGCACTGATATTTTTCGCCAAGTACAAGAGTTTACAAATTTTCAAAAATGGGCAAGTATTGGATTTAAAAAGTAAATTGTTTTCTATAACAACTGGCGGTGCTCCAAGTATGAGAGGAAAAACACTGTTGGATTTGTAAAACTAATGGAAAATGAACTTGGCCGTTCACTTTTATCGTTTCATTGTATCATACATGAAGAAAATTTATTTGCAAAGGCATCTACAGGCACAACAACTTAAGGATGTAATGGAAAAAGTTGTTAAGATCGTAAACATGATAATAGCACGATCAGCATTAATACACAGGCGCTTTAAAGCTTTTTTTGGAGGAAATTGAATCGAAATATGGAGATTTGTTGTTACATTCTGAAATACGATGGTTAAGTCGGGGCAAAGTTCTTAATAGATTTGTAGAGTGTTTTGATGATATACAAATATTTCTTCACGAAATCGGTGAAAATGATCTCGAACTCAATGATAAACAATGGTTTTTAAGACTTTTGTTCTTAACAGACATAATGAACCATTATAATGACTTTCAACGTACGACTCCAAGGAAATAACCACACAATTTTGAAAATGTATGAGGAATGGAAAAGTTTTACTTCAAAATTGATATTATTTGAAACTGACATAAAAACTAAAAAATTTCATTTCTTTCCCTTGTTAAAAAAGGAACATGAAAAAGAAAATATCGATGAACGCAATCTAAATATGTTCGAAACTTGGATTTCGGTCATTAAAGTGAATATGAAAGTCGGTTTCAAAGTCTTAAGAAACATGGAGAAATGTTTACATTTATAATAAAGCCCGATGAAATAGAAGAAAATATTATAAATTTGCAGTATTTTGAATATCTAAGAATTGACAATTTTAGTTTAGCAATGATTTATTTGAAAAGTTCAACATTATGGACGGATAAATTCAAGAAATTGCGGAACGATTTGGAAAATACAGAAGATAATCATTTTCTCATGATATCAACATGTTAGTCATCACTTCCTAGGAGGTTTTCATCATTAAAAAAATTGCCTTTGCCATTTTGTCCACATTCGAGTCCACTTATAAATGTGAGCAAATATTTTCACAAATGAAATTTATTTTAAGTAAAAACAGGAGCAGGTTAACTATTGAAAATTCAGATGCTTGTGTTCGACTTAAAACGACTAACTATAAACCAGACTTGACTGAATTGACGTCACAAGTTCAACATCAGGGGAGCCATTGATATCGTAGAGAAAGTTTATAAATAAAGTTTATTCAACTATGTTTTGTAATTATTTCTTAATAAAATATATCTTATTATTTATTAAAATGCTGTTTTAATACGAAAATATCTCTGACCCAAACGTCTCTTTAATACTCGCATTTTGTTTGATTTTGACCCGCGGCCAAAAAATGCTGCCGACCCCTGCTATAGAGACATATACTGAGGTAAAAAATATGCAGATACATATCATACAGACATATACTGAGATATTTCATATATTTCTCTTTATTTCCAAATGATCTTAAAACGTAGTTAATCACAAAAATACTATAAATAACAAAAATGAAGTAAACATGCATGACTATGCACCGAATTGAGTTGCAAACTTTTGAGTCCTAATGTAATGTGGCGGAATTTATTATTTGTTGATTTAAGTCTACTTGAGCTTCATAGTTAATGTCCAACAAAAATCTGCCACGTTTTTAACCTGCTGTTTTATTACTTTTTTCAATTAACCCAAGACTTTCTGAAAAGTTCTAAGTACTGTGTAAAGGCAAAAAGGTACAGCTTCACACTCTTGCTGAAACAAAGGCCGGGTTAAGCTAGAATGCAGCTTTAAAAAGTATTTGGAGAAGTATATCAGTCTTTAGCTTCCATCAAGAAGTCTTAACTTCTATAGCATACCTTCCATAAATGTTTTGTATTTTTCTTTTTTCTTTCTTTTTCTTATTCCTAAAACCTTCAAATTTTTTTCATACCTCTTTTTATAATGTGAACAGTTTTTTTCACTGTATCCCGAAACATATTATCTGAACCCAGCTTCCGAATCTAAGACGCATAGAAAATTCCGTCTTTAATTTTGACATCAGTTGCAGAAGAAAACTTATTATAAGGACGTTTAAAACAACTATTATCTGTATCTAAAATTTTTGTTTCATTGCTCTTATTTTAATGTAAACTAGTGGTAGAAGAATTTTTTTAAGATCTACTAGTGGGTTGTTCTGAATACTTTTTGAGTGCAAGTACAAAACATATTCAAGAGGCCAATTTTTCTCAGTAATTCGCCTTGCACCGACTGTTCCATCCATATAAATACATGGATATTACATAGACATATTATGTGGACAAATACATGTTACACGCACAGAAAATTCCGTCTTTAATTTTGGCATCAGTTGCAGAAGAAAACTTATTATAAGGACGTTTAAAACAACCATTATCTGTAACTAAAATTTTTGTTTCATTGCTCTTATTTTAATGTAAACTAGTGGTAGAAGAATTTTTTTAAGATCTACTAGTGGGTTGTTCTGAATACCTTTTGAGTGCAAGTACAAAACATATTCAAGAGGCCAATTTTTTTCAGTAATTTGCCTTGCACCGACTGTTCCATCCAGATAAATACATGGATATTACATAGACATATTATATGGACAAATACATGTTATGATATTATACATTGTTATCATACTTGAAATAAAAGAAAACGCATGCAAGGGTTTAATAATATACTTGAGAATACTTAATATGACGATTCATTGTTAGATGAGGCAAAAGAGCGACAGAATTTGTTTCTCATAATAACAAATGAATGACTTTTTAACAGAATGAAAACAACATAGCATAGAAACAAACCTAGCACACATCAGTTTGGAATAACAGTAATGATATTCTGAAGAGAAGTACTCTGAACTAAAATTCAAATTTAGTTGAAAATAAACCGGAAAATATAAGATATAGCATTTATGCCTAATTTTAAAAAATAATAAACTGATAAACATACCTTTTCCTGCTGGGAGAATCGGTGCTAATTCAGATAATTCGAAAGGTTCTTCCAAACATTTATAAAATAAAATGCATACAAGTATAAAACGCATACGTTTTCTTTAAAAGCCAGCCAAATTTCTAAAAAGGGCTGCTGCACGAAAGCGACTTTCACATATTCGTCTTTATTTTGAAACAACTCGCAGGAATTCCTAAGAGTAAACGTATTATCTTCTGTCAACAGGAATGTGGTCAAAGGTTAAGTAAATAGCAAGTTAGTGAATACAAGAGTAAAATGACTATCGTAAAGAAGTTTCTAGTTGAAATAAATGCATAAATAAATGAAACAAGTCTTAATCTATTAAAAAGTGTTAAAAAAGGATGTAACTATTTAAAGAAATGAAGTTACATCGCAGCCAATAAAATTTTCTTTAGTTTCTTGCGATTAAACGCTAAGAGCAAATATTTTTAATTGGGATGTAAATTATTATAATGCGATTGGTTCAGGGAATATAGTATTACTTAGCCCGGTATGGGATATGCATATTAGTAAAGGAATTATTTAGAAAATTTATAGGATTGCATCGAAACGGATATATCATTTAGAAATTATAGTATAAAGTCCGAGATCCGGACATCCAATATCCGAAATGATCTAAAATCTGGATCAAAGCCACAACACTTTTTTTTTGTATACTTTACGCATGCGTATTATGATTTTTTCTTCCAATAA